AGGAAATAAACATAAATTATGCCTCTTTCATTCTAGAATGAACACAGATTATAATACGAAAACATAAATGTTCAGACGAAATAGCTTAAATCTCATAACATTATACATTTATATATATTTATTATTTTTATTATATTGACCTTTCACCCATGCCTGGCTAGGAATACAGAAGTTACAATGACGTGGCTCACATACACTCATGTTACCGTATCAAATAACATAAAACTGACCTTTGGTCTAAACAAAGTAACTTGTCTTGGCTATGTTTTAGTCGACTAGTATTTTATAAAATAGTCACATTTCAATTATTATACATTATATATGTATATAGAGTATTGTTATTTTGAAATAAGTTCTTAAACATATTTTTCCTAAAACGTAGAACAGTAAATAAAGAAATAAAGCAAACAATTATCCCTCTATTTTATTACCTTTGTACTTGGTTGCTGCTTGATGTAGGTTGCTAAGCTTTTAAAACTTTTGCACATGGAGGATATGAAACAAAATATTTATTTTTAGGTTTTATATATACTTTTGAATAATCAAAAAATCATAAATTGATACATAAATACCATAGAGTTCAACTATAATTTATCAAGCTTTGTAACTAAAATGTATTTTAGTCTAAAAAAATATGAAATTTCAAGAAGACTAAAGACACAACTTATCTCATTGAGATCTTGGTTCAAAAGAAAGAAATGGCTCTAGGCATGTTAGAAAGGCTGAGAAAATCACTAGGGGGACATTCTGAGCTTTTGATCAGTTTTTCATGTCATATATAGAAGTTAGTGTATATAAGGGAATGTTTCCAAAAATGGAAAGAGGTGGGCGGGGTGCCACTGTGTTTGATTTATTGCATGAGCAATATTGTAGCATATAGAAAAGATAAGACCTTCTTATTTTATATTCTAGCTTGTCAATATCTGTAATTTGAGTTTCTAATTTGTACAAGACTATAGACATATTAATATTTTGACTTCACAAACATCTAATTTGAACCAGTGCTGCATTCAACATACCAAGTGACACGCAAAAATCGATGTTTATCTGTGATTCCTTCTAATGAAAAGTCTTTGGCTTGTAATAGAAAGTATTACAATCACAGATGTAATACTGAGAATTGTATTTTGAGAGAAAACTTACTTCTTAAAAACTTGTGTGTCCTAAACGTTCTTTATTCAGAAACTTCTCTGGCATGGTCACATATGTGAGACTGGTAACTAAAATTTCAGTGAATACTTACTTGTCAAAAGCTGATGTGTCACTAACATTCCTTCTGTGGGAACTTCTCTGACTTGGTGTAGGAGAAGGTGTTGGAGTAACTGATATAAGTGATTGAGAGCTGCAATCAGAGTCATTTTTTACTTCTGTTTCTTCAGCAATATTTTTCTGGGAGAGTGTGTGTGGTGCTGGAATAGAGGGTATTTGAAAACCAGAACCTATTTCATTATTTTCACTGGTTGTTGACTTGGAAGCTTCTTGATACCCTGTAGATGGGAAAAATGCTTCAAGAGATGATGTTTTATTTCTATCAGATTGTTTTGTTCCTGTTAAAAATGAGTGACTTGGAGTCACAGCTGAAGAGCTTGGTGCTGAAGTAGATGATGACAAAGATGGAGGAACAAGCACAGAATGAGTCACGGGTGTAGGGCTGGGCAATGTTCTTGGCACATCTGATAAAACAGGTTCAGAAGATATCACACAAGTGTGTGGACAAGACGATACAGCTTCTTGGGTAGTTAGCTGGGATATGGGGATAATTTGTTGCGATAAGGAGCTAGGAGATATATGTGACTGGGGATGGGATGCTCCACGTATAGGTTGCAAGATGCCTTGGGTTGCACACATTTCTACAAAAACAAATTGCAAACCATAAAACAACAGCAATTTAATAATGTATAATATTAGTAAAATCCTTAAATTGTGTTCTTTTAGAATTGTCTGAAAAAATATACCACATGTGACTGATGGTACGTTATCACTCACTGGTTTTGGAAGTACTTTTCCCACCAAAATATTATACATGACGAAACAGAATTACCTTGATATTGGTGATAAAATAAAAAAATCTGCATGAAGTAAATGAATAAATCAAAAATGATTTAAGTTCAATACGTAGAACAGTATGTTTATTCCTTAGAAGTGTAATTAACCCACTTCTAAACATAACTGGGACAAATGTTCAGTATCAGTTTGCATCACATTACAAGTGAATGTAATCATGTTAAAAGTCTTTTAAAGCAACAAGTTCAAGACAAAGCCTTAAGGCCAAAATAGCACAATTTGAAATTCTGGATAAAGAACTGGTGGATTAATAATATATTTATTCATTCAAATTTTCTAAAAGTATGTAGCATAAGTACTGATATAATACTTAATTTTAAACAACTATTGCTATCTAAAATTTATTAAGTTAAGAACAGCCACATCATTTGAGTTGTAAAATTAAAATATATTCCTCAAATACAGCCATCAACACCTGGTGCAATATGATCAAGTTGTACCTAGAGTAGTGGAATTCTCCGAAACTAGTCTGGCTCACAGACACACCCCCAATGAAAGAATAGACCATTCCAAACTTTTACTTTTTGTTAAACAAATGTTTAAACAACTCTATTGAATTATGTACCAGCTGCCTAGTGTTGGCTAACAATACGAAGAATTAATTGTGGTGAAATCCTATGATTTTTCAAATACCTATAGAATGATAAGTTTCTTTTTTGTGAGTGTAAAACACTTAAATACACCATTTTGAAGTTGTAACCTAAGAAAAGTAATATGTATAAAAAATGTTCTCAAGAACTTTTTCGTTTTCTTAAAATGAGATGAACCTTAATTGAGGTGCAACTACAAAAAATTAATGAACAAACAGCTCTTTTTTTTGTGAAGTGACCATAGGGTTATTTTACATGTGATTAGACAAACTTTACCTTGATTGGGTGTTTTAACAGGGAGGTCTTGAGAACTGTTTGATGCTGGGCGGAAAGGAGAAGCAAGATTATTCTGTGTTAATAGAGGAAGGTTTCCAACTGTAGGAGGAGCCTGAGATCCTTTGGGTCGCTGCCTTGGTACTACTGAAGTTTTTTCCACAAAAGGCCCAGCTACATTTCTAGAAGAAAAAACAAAGTTGCAAATAAATAAAAAAGACTACAATAATTGTTAAAAATCAATGAGTAGTTACTAAATTTACACCTCTTTCTTTGTATAAAATGGCTGAGAAGCACTACCTGTTACAAAACAAGCATTTATGCATATACATCCCATTGTACTGAAACAGATGATTTTCAATAAACATTAAAAATTGCCTCTTCTTTAGCTCCAGTCCAGTTACAGTTCATCAGCTTTTTAAACATATTTTTCTAAAGTAATCGAGCACCAACTTACTCGAGGATTTATGATTTTGCATCAGACAAAAAAAAAAAATTTTAAACAAAATTATCATCAACATTGCAATTAATTCCACTAATTACAGCTGGGATCCCACATAGAAGATTAATGACTTCATCCAGTTTTTCAGCCAGTTATTTACATTAATTGTTGTAACAGGCAAAAACACAAAATTACTCACTATGATGCAGTATCTCACTTGTAATTAATTTAAGTTTGTGCATGTTTTTAAGTGTTAAAAAAAAGCCTAACAAGTGCACCAACTACATTAAATAATGCCAATATATTATAACTTAAGGAGATTTTATAAAACATCCTCAAAACCCTTTTAAGATGGGTCATAGGTGAAAGGCCATGTCATCTCGTTTGTTGACTCGCATTCCAAATTTTATTGAAGTACTATTTCATGAATTTATGTCAATAAGTTTGGTATCAAACTGTAAATTATAATTCAAATTTTAGAACTATACATTACTCAATTTCTTAATCTAAAAGTAAATATTAAAAAAAAAAATGACTGAGGACTGTAATCAGAGTAAATACTTGCTTGTAAGAACTGAAGAGCACTAACAATATCTGTGATTGTAATACTTTCTATTACAAGCCAGAGAAGTTCCATTAGAAGGAAT